GCATGCAGCTCACACAGTGCACAGCGAAACTAGGTGCAGCGACCCACAGTTAGATGTAGTAGCACAGAGGAAACACACTGACACAGGCCAGACAACAACACCCCTGAATCTTGGGCTTCACAGTATGCATTCAACCAGCAGACTAAGTCAGCTGTAACTGAGCCCATGATCAGTATTCTGCCATAATCCAACAGGTACGGCATTCTTAACTACGGTACCCGCTCTCTGTCATTTTATGTATGCTTTTTGAGTTCAGGGCTAAAATGATTATGTAACATTCATTTTTAAGAAACGTATGCTGGAAATTTCTTACGTGGGAAACAAAGGTGCTTCCACTAGGATTCTACACTTGACAGAGGACACATTTTGCAGCAGTGCTCAGTTACTCATAACCCCACGGGTTTCGCGGGTCAGACTGCAGCGTCCTTGCATTCCACAGGTGAAGCCCGAGTCAGCGGCGAGCACAGCGCAGGCAAAGCACACAGACAGCGATCAGCTCCAGCGTCTCAGTACCTCCCCATAGCTGTAGCGCTCTAGCCTGTCATCGGAGGTGTATCTGTGATAGGGCTCATAGGAAATTAGTTCAGGCCGCTGAACGTCGTATATAGCTTTAACCTTAGGAAGAGCAGCGAAATCTTTGTAATTAAGGATCTCATTGTCCACTTTGGCCTGGAAAGAGGGACACAAAGAAGAGCGGATTTGAACGGAGCCATAGGACCAGCAGAAACGGACACAGCCTTTCGGAAACACAGGATGACACGGAGGGAGGGCAGTAGTGGGGGTGAGGGGGGATATATGGTACTTTGGAAAAGGAAGGCACAACAGATGCATGTTTCTTATGTAGGGATTGCTCTTTCACCATGAATGACAAGCTGGGGAGAAATTGCTTTTGAAGGGGAACTGCAGGCCCAATTTCTCAAACCGGTAAATGAATCTCGGTCACAAAACAAATCGGCGTTATAGAAAACAAACGACAAACTTGGAGTTACGCACAAAATCGTGAACTTTGTGAAAGCACCGTAAGTCGCCATGTTGACGCAACTCGCCTTCGAGTTGCCACGAATTGCCGTGTGATGCGGCCCTTCCTGCTCACTAGTCTCCTAATATAAGGCAATGTACGAGCGAATAAGTACACGTTCTATAGCAGACATTCCACTGCAGAAGTGTTCCGACATGATCTGCATGCAGAATTAACGAGCAAGTAGTATCTGTCAGCAAACCCGTCTCGAAAACAAAAGCAATATTTCTAGTGGATTACAAGAGATGGATTCACAAGCCTGCTTGTTTTCAATGTCATAAAGCCGCTTCGCATCATCAGAAGTTTTGTTGCCTCGTTCTGAATCGCAGAACATGGCGCTGCACAAACCTGGGAATTTTGTTGTCTATGTTGTGATGTAAATAGGAGGTTTTACAAGTCACTGTGTAC